TATGTTGTTTCCGCAGCAGCAAGATCTTCAGCAACCAATAGGTCATCGAGTAACACCCCTACAGTATCAACAATGTATAGTTAAGTTGTGATGCCATATTTTGTAAATGAATATGTGCAAACAGATTACAAGAAAATTGTGAGATCCAAACAATGGTGGTCTTTATCAGAACATCATTAGGTACATTGACATAAGTCCTGCCAAGCTTTTTTCCTTACCTCCACGTAAACCACCATAGATAAATATCAAATCACCGACTGCAGCAGCAGCATGCCTACAACGCCTAGTCAGCTCAACAGAGGCATCACCACCAGCTGCATCGGCACTGTACCTGCCAGTTCTAGGACTAGTAACAACTGATTTCGTATCACACCATACACCTGCTGCAGTATCCAATACTGTACAAAGGCAATAAATGAAATCATCAGAGAACTATAGATGCACTCAATGCACATTTTTTTATAAAACAATTATGTCCAACCCCTCTCGTCCATACATGAAACACATTTCAACAACAGCTAAAATGCTTCAGTGATATTTTGATGACTAAAACCACCTCGACTGGAAAAAAATTGTAGCATATTCCTTTATACAGCTTTCTTCTAAAGATGAGACACATTTCAACAATGGTCTACAAGATGACTAAAAAATGGTGCACATATTATCAAGGAAACATAAGTTTTTCCCAAAAATCATCCAACAGCACAAAATTAAGTTTGCTTCTCTTTGTTTGCTAACCTGCAACACTGGATGAGTCTTCAACCATGCGTCCACCACCAAGTGCCCCACCAGACACATGAAGTCTTGCATTTACAAAGACCTAAATAATCCATCAAACAGTTTAATTATTCTGCTGAGGCCAGATAAGAGAGCCAAAGAGGAAGAAGTATCCCATACTGCTGCATGCTGATATCTGGCAGATGGTGAGACACCAGGGGCAATGGCCCATTCCCAGCGTCCATCTCTGTGCTTCGCAAGTCCATACGCACTGGCCAGAGGCTATCAATTCAAATGTCGGAAAAAAACAAAAAATAAGTCCCTCAATCAAGCATTCAAGATCTGGGCAGTCCACTGAGTTTCAATTTCACTTTATGCAAAATTGACAACTTCACAAATAATGGTAAACAAATAATTAATAATAAGTTCATTCCTTGATGAACATAGAATTTATAGTCCTTTTCTCATAGAAGGTTCACGAAGTCTTGCACATAAATTATGCTTGTTACTTCTTTAGAATGTGTTAAAACACAAACTCTTGTTTAATTTACTTTACAGAGAGGAGGTACATCCCCACTGCTCTGTAGCATAGAACAAAGATGTTCACTATGCCGTTAATAAATTTGTAGCTGGGAACAATAGAATACTGTTCAATTTGCTCATAGTGACAGCTCAACCTCTACAACAATGGACTAACTATCATGGTTATATTTCTCTCTCAGAACAAAACAAAAGCCAAAATTCTAAGATCATGCCTCTATCATTAGCTCTGTGTCTGTTTTCAAATAGGCAATTGAGCATGATTGTAAAAAAACTCTTCCACTTACCACACTATTTGCATCCCGTCCACCACAGAGGAGAAGAAGGCCATCCGAACGCGCACTTGCAGTTGCATACCTAGGTTAACGTACAAACAGCAAAAACAATATAATTCCAGCGCAAGGCACATAATCATAGAGTGTCATCAAACTTACATGCAGGGAGGTGGGCCTTCCCCTTCTGGTTCCAGCTTACGCCATTCATAAGGCTTGGCGGCAGTATCCAAGGCCCATACATCAGCGAGTGGACGTTTTCCTGATTATTTTAAAATGGAGTTCAGAATCCAGGAGCTTTAAGGATAATACGACGCTCCAACATAAATACTGAGAATAAGCCAACATGGAGAACTGCATACCATCATTTCCACCAATTGCCATGAGATACCTTTGTCCCACAAGTGCCATGACATGTCCATAACGTGGTCCTGGTCCAGGACCCTGAACAACAACCCTGGAAAGACAATATAGTCAATATCAAGACACAAAATAGTGACATAAATTCTAAACAGGGATAGAAACTAGTGGGGAGTTTATTTTCAAACCTGTGCCATCTTGGCCGTTGTTGAGTGAGATCAAGAACGTGAAGGTCTTCGGCTGATAAACCAGCAGGACCAATTCCACCCTACACCAGAGAGAGAATTCAGAAGCAATTTCATAGCTAACTGAAAATGATCATCTTAAATTGATAAGCTAACAACATGCGCATACTATAATAGCATCGTTTCTCCCCTACCTGAATAACTACCATGGTCCCGACAGCAGTTGCAACATGTGCGGCTCTTGGGGTTGGTGGTTCTCCAAATGGTGTAAGCCTGTAAGCTCATTTCATCAAATTAACTGGTATCCACACTTTAAAAAGGGGAGGATCTCATGCAAATTTCATAATAATGATACTGTTACATAGATGAAGAACCAAAGAATCACATTTTATGCTCACCTCGTCCACTTATTAGAAAGGACATCATAACAATGAACATCGGCAGTTGCCCCAGCTAGCCCTGCACAGCAAAGTAACACTTTAATTATGTAATACAAGTGGGAGAGTCTAGCAACCTCAAGAAATAAGAAGAGCTAGAACATAGAATCTATCAGCAAACTAATGGAGTCATTGATCCAAGATCTAGGTAGTTCTGACAATATTCCACAACAATATTTAGCTAGTAGACCAAGTTATTAGCTCTGTCAATCTTTATCTAACAAGCTTAGCTTGATTGAAAAATAAATAAACAATACAACTAAGTAGATGAAGAAATGAGGTCTGGCAACTTAAACTTGACATGTCAAGTTAACAAGATCTTAGAATTCGAGTAACGAAACGAGTAAATCTTTTCAATTTTTCAATTCAAAGCAAGCAAGACGTACTACAGCTTCCGGAGAGTTGTGAAAAGTGAAAGAACAAAGGCAAATATAGAACGGAGATACTCAAAATTATAAACAAGTGAGGCAAAGGAGAAGGCAAAACTTACGAATGCCTGCACTTCCAGCTGCTGAAGTTGGAGTTCCGGTGCCACCAGAATTACCCTCAAGGGCCGTGGCACCACCAAACAATACAAGACGAGGACCAATATAACCAGGCGTTCCCTCCTCACCAACAGCCGGAACAGCCGTCAACGTGTGGCCACACCTAGGGCCAGGTCCGTCCTCTTTTTTATCCATCATAGCATCAACCACCGAATACGTAGGTGCACACCTCGGACCAACCACTTGCGCAGGCTGCTCTTGTCCCAAAGGTGCAGCCGCTTGCTGTTGAGAGCTCGCCGGATCAGGATTCAAAGGCGTTAACACCGATCCATCTTCGACCTGTGATTGGTCGTTCATCTGTTGAGACGCTTCTCTCTCCATAGGAGACGGAGATTCACCGTTCCGAGACTCCGAATCCTGATCGTTCTCAGGCACCACCATAGACGAATCCTCATCCATTATCAAACAAACCTCAAGCTTCGC